ATCCTTAACAATTTCCCTGGACAGAACAGCTACTTGGAAACTCACTTTAGTTCTAGTTTCATTTTCTTCTTTCTTTTGTCTTTTGTGAAGAAATTCTTCTGTAATGAGATTGTAAGGGCCATTGAGTTGAATACTACTCACACCGACCTTATCAACAATGAATCCTTGGTCTACTTTGTGCTATCCTCACAATATCTGCCATGCCCAAGCCCACTGACACAGTCAGCATGTCAACCCATCTCCTTAAAGGTTGTCTTCTCTCTGACCCTTTACCCTTCTCAGCAGGCCTGAGCTCTGGTGACCTGATCAGAGAGTTGTGTTGTTAATCCAAAGGCATATAGCTCAAATCCAAGAGCTGGTTTTAGAGAGAAACATGGGTAATCTCTTCCAATGCAATTTATAGCCTCTTAACACCCATTGGAAGGTCAGTTATAGGTTGACTCTGACTTGATGGCAATAATATTGTGGTGAGACATTGCATATTAGGTTTTCTAATTTTTGTGTTTTTAAATTTTCTAATTTTTCTGAATATGATTTCCTGTGTATTAGAAATATTGGCATGACTTTCTACTCTGGTAGCTCAACTCATTGCCATCGAGTGAGAACTGACTCATAGCTGATCTTCCATTAGTTGCCAATGTTGTAAATCACAAGGGAGGAGACTGTCCATTTTTTTCTCTCAAGGTCTCTGGTAGACGTGAGCTGGCAAAGATGCGTGGCCTGTGGGTTAGCATGACAATTTCCTAGGGACTATTTTCCACCAAAACTCACTGGTTAGGCAAAGTGAGTGGGCACTCCATTCTTTGAGCACAGTTAGAATGTCACTGTGTAACAAACATCACTTTTTGGTATGTAATTTGACAACAAAATAATCCACACTCTGCTGTGCCATGAACACTCAAAATACACATTTCTATTTCGTTGAATTATATATTGAAGGCTGGAAGTCTGAATCCACCCGTCAGTTCTTGGGAAAAAGATGAGAAATTCCCACCAAGATTTACCAAAACAAAAAACTTACCGCCACTATGTTGAGGACTCATACTGACCCTCCATTGGTTTCCTGGCATATGCATTGTTTTAATTTGGTTTCTGAGGCTTTAAATCTTATGGCATGTCCATTTTAATGGAAGAGGCAGCCTATTGTTCTCGCATGGAGGGGCATGTGGATTTAAACCATGCACGTCCAACAATTTGAACATTAGCTGTGTGGTTAATGATCATGGCTATTTTGGTGGCTTTTAAATTTAGAGCCCAAAACATTTTCTTATGAAAGACACAATGTTGTTGTTGTAGTTTAGTGCTTTCAAGTCTCTTGTGACTCATAGTGACCCTATGTACAACATCCCTGAAACCTGCTCTATCCTGTGCCAACATTACTATCTGTGAGACTCCTACCCTCATTAACCCAGTCACTGCATCAGTCCATCTCATTGATGGTCTCCCACTCTTTCTCCATCCCTCACCCTTCCAGGCATGATGTCCCTCTCCAAGGACTGGTCCTTCCTTGAAAGACACAAGGTTGTTGTTGTTGTTGTTGTTGACGAGCACAACTCATAGCAACTCTATGAAAAAAGTGTGAAGCCCCTCTACAACTATCGACATTCATCAAAGTTCATAGAGTTTCTGGAGGCATGTTGTTTAGGAAGAAGATGTCACTTCTGAAAGACAATAAATGCACTTAACGTCTCTGTTCTAAGAGAATCTTGTCACATTGTGCATACATGTTCTGTAATTTAACATTAACACTGACCTCTATAGGGGTCAATTATGACAAGCCTACTTTAAAATAAGCAAAACTTTTCCTGGACACAAAAATAAGGCACTTTGTAATGATTGTGCCCTTCTTGGGCCCATTCTCAAAAGATTTGGGATCATGTCAAAGTTCACAACAATGCAAAAAGCTTTTACACATCTTTTCTCTGATCAGCTGAAATAGAAATAATCTAGTTTTGTTTATAGAACTCACCCTTCACATTCAAAGCCATACTTTTCAACATACTTTCTTAATTTGGTTAAGAGGACAGTACCAGATGTTCCCAGCATACCTCCGTAATTGTGTGCTTTATTACTTTCCTGCCCGTCTCTTCCTCAGCTTGTAAACAGTAATAAGACAGGGCTGGGCAAGAGTGTTTTACCCAGAAAGGGTGGCCAAAATTAGAAGAGCTTGGAAAAGACTAAGTCAGGGTACAGGGAAATTTAAGTCAGCCCAAAGGAAAATAAGGTTTGATTGCGAATAGTCCCATGCTTGCTTTGTATGGTGAAATCCATTCTCTCTTTCTAAACTTACCACCAAGGTAGCAATGACTCAAGGGTCATTTTCTCAGAGCTTACGGCTAGAGCAACTTCTTTCTCATTTCCTAATTGTGAAGATAAAACCAAATAGCAGATATAGAAGGCTTACATCTGTAGTTATACAGTGGCTGTACAGTGACGTCATCTTCCAGTCAGAAACACCCTGCCTTCTCCAGGCTCTGGAGTCTTGCTGCCTCAGCCCCTTTCCCAGGAAAACTCCCAGGTGCCTCTTCTTCTCTGTGACTCTCTTTCCCCCCATCTCTTTCTTTGTTGCTCAAATCTATCCCTCCTTTTCTCTTTCCCACTCTGATTGCTCTGCTGAGCACCCAGTAGACTTAGTGAGAGTTGAACCAAACTACAGGGATCCACATCTAGTCCTATCTCGAGAAGTTCTGTCACAGCCAGTTCTATCTGAAGCCTCCCATTTCTACAATATAGTATATGGATGTTGACAAGGAGGAAAAAAAGTCCATCCAAATAATGAAAATGCAAATGCAATAGGACTTCCACAGATGTTTTGAAAATGACATGACATATACAGAGACTTGGAATTCTGGTGGCACAATGGTTAAGCAGTCATCAGCTGCCAACCAGACGGTCAGCATTAGAATCCTCCATCCTCTGTGAGCAGGGAGATGTGATGGTTGGCTTCTGTGAAGATTAGAGTCTTGGGAACCTGAGAGGGTAGTTAGATTCTGTTCAAGAGGGTCACTATGAGTCACACTCCACTCGATGGCAAGGAAGTCGGAAACAAGTACTTAGCAAATAGGCTGACCTTCAAGAAAGCTCTCAGTGGCTATTGTTTATTCATCCACTTCCCCATCCTTTCTCTGCCTTTTCACCTGGGCTCAGGGTATAGAGTGGAAAGAGTCTGAATGTACAGTCCATAGCATCAGTCTGTCCGTTCAAATACAAAAAGCCCTCTTTAAGTTTAATTATATCATCTTTCTCAAGTAATTAAATTGTCATTTTATTCACCTTTACTACACATCCATGTTTATGACCAAACTACATTAAAAATAGATCTAGATGAAAAAATGTCTACATAATCCTACACAATTAACGTGAGAGATTTTTCTGATCAAATGATCTGCTTCTTATAACCTTTTTCCTGTTTGCAAAAGCCATATTTTCATTTTTTTCTCACTTAGGAAATCCATGCACAGGGAAAGAATATAGACATATTTATATATATTCCTTCTTTTCAAAATTTAGCAAGAAAAAAAATGACATATTATCACAAGTTCCTTGAAATTCCCTTCTGGAACCAATGAGGGAATATGACTTAAGAAGGGGTTGTGGACCAGAGACGATGTGTGTACCATTTGTGAGTATGAAAGCTGGGCATGGTTAGAAAAGTTCACATCACGTTAGCAATGCCTTGGTAGCTAAGCCCCCGATCTGTGGACTATTCTTGATCCAGCCTTACTCAAGAACAAAGCACTTTGAATGCTGTTCAACTAGTGGGTTGATGAAGTCAGAAGTCCCCATAGTCATGTACACTGAATTATAATCCTGTCTGCCAGGAACTAGCCAGGGGCAAACTGGCCCTTTGCCACACAATTTGAAAAGCATTGAGCTAAACCATAGTTCTGCAAATTTTGTTGTCGGAATTGATTTATCAATTTTCAAGAGCTCATTCATAACATATATCCAGAAAATAAATACATCAGATATTTAACATTTCAAATATCAAATACCTTTCTCAAATGAAAAATGGTTAACATTTGAATTTTGCCGATTCCAAGGCATCTGACCTTGGATAAAGAATAAGGATGACAGAAGAAGAATTGATGCCTTTGAACTGTGGTGTTGGAGAAAAGTCTTGCAGTCATGGACTCGCAAAATACAAACAAGTCTGTCTTGCAGGAAGTGCAACCAGGGTGCTTCTTAGAGGCAAAGACGGCGAAATTTTGTCTCACATACTTTGGGCATGTTATCAGGATAGACCAGTTTTTGGAAAAAAAGACATCATGCTAGGAAAGGTGGAGGGTCAGTGAAAGAGACTAAGATCCTCAACAAGATGGACTGGCACAGTGTAACAGTATCAGAGATCGTGAGGATGACGCAGTATAGGGCGAGGTTCAGCTTTGTTGGTTGGGTTACTAGTAGTGGCTATGAAGGCCACTGGACGTTAAGAATGACTGAACCAGGAGAACGCTAACCCCTAATTCTAGAGAGAACTCTGCCATCTAGTGGCTGAAGGTGTCAACTGCAACAGAGCAAGAGCTGGCTCTGCCTTGAAAGAGCTCCTGCTCCTTTGCCTGCTTTTAAGCGTGTGGAAGTCTGTACTTCCATTCAGCTACCTATTTCGACCACGACTCTACATTTAGAAAAGAAAGAAAAAAATTTTAAAAATATATATTCTTTAACTAGTGCTTTCAACCTTTTCCGAAAATGCTTCACATTGAGCGCTCAATAAAAGCTTGTGTTTCGAAGAAATCAGTATTTTAAGACGGAAACCCATGGTTTGAACCCTTGCCAAGGGAAATCCAAACATCTAATTTAGAAGAAGGTAACAAAAGGGTGAAAGTTAGGCAGCTGGTTTCAGTATATTAACTTTTTAAAGGTAATTCCCCGCCAATCATCCAAGTACCGTTACGTCACAGATAAGTAAACCGGGAGGCGCAAGTGAACTATAATTCCCAGCATGCCTGGGGAGGCGCTCCGCGGCTGCGCAGACCGGCACGTTGGCTGTCGTGTGAGTTCAGCATGGCGGTGTTTGCCGATTTGGATCTGCGAGCGGGTACAGACCTGAAGACCCTTCGCGGGCTGGTGGAGAACGCCGCTCACCGTGAGTCCACTCTGCCTCCCTTTCCCCTAGACTGTCACGTCTCGCCCGGCAGAGATCTGGCGAGGCCTGGCCTCACTCACGCCCCAGGGGTCCCTAGGATGTCCCTGAGGCTTGTACTCAAGTGCTCTTGTCCGGATGCCAAGCCCGCAGGACTGGAAGGGACCCGGGCTAGGGAGGATGGGAAGGTAGAAGGGAGTTCAACTGCTGCTTTTCTGCAGATCGGGGGATCTGAGATCCATAGAGGGTGAGAGATTTGTTCTCTCCAAGTGTTGCTGCACAACTGATGGGTGACAGAAGCAAGGGCGGGACTCTCAAGTGTACGATCTTTTAAACCAGTGCTTTTCGACTCACCTCTCTTGCTTGTCAGAGGGTGTCTTGGAAAATCGAGGGACCCAAGACCCAGGTAGAGAGTGCTCTGAAGGCTCAGAAAAAAGGGAGATTATAGGTGTACCAGTGATGTAACAGTCTTATTTAGTGGAAGAGTAGATGAGTCAAAGGACGTACTAGACAGGAGCAGCGTAGCAAAATGAGCGTGTTTCTCGTTTAAATCAAAGACCTTGGAGAGATGAGGGCTCTGTTTTTTGTTGTTGTTTTATTTTTGTGTGAGTGTACCGTCAAATCAGATCTGACTGGTACAGGAGATTGTCCCTCCTTTTCCCGGCAGAGGATCTGGTGGATTCGAACCGTGTGCCTCTGGGATTGTAGTTGCAGCTCCTTGCCACTAGGCCACCAGAGTTCCCCTAGGGCTCTGTTTTAATCCTTGGATTAATGAATAGCTTCTGTCTTGTTCCTTTCTTTGACTGTAGAATGGAAGGTGAAGATGTTGCTAAGCGCGGTTGGATTTAGTAAGACTTATAAGCGACCTTATGCACAACACAGATCTGAACTTTGCTCTATCTTGTGCCATCCTTATAATCTCTGATACAGTTGAATCCATTACTGCAGGCACGGTGTCAAGACGTCTTGTTGGTGGCTTAGTGATAAGGAGTTGCACTGCCTACTTAAAGTCAGACAGTTCAAATCCACCAGTTGCTTCGTGAAAGCAACATTCTCCTCCCGTGCAATTTACTGCCTCTGAAAACCCTCAGAGGGTCAGCTATGAGTCAGTTCAGATTCAACGGGACACAACAACAACGAAGCGGGAAATGAGCTAGTACAAAAACCCAAACACTACTCTGAAGTGTCTGCCTACTCAGAGTGACCCGTTAGAACAGGGAACTACCCCGGAGAGTTTTAAGGGCTGTAAATTTTTAGGAAGTTCGCGAGACCTTTCCAACGTTAATAGCCTATGCACCTTGAGGGATAATGAAGTAGAGAAACCTAGAAAAGGTTCCTAATGCAGTTAGACCTTTCTCACAGAGTTCTCAGCAATTTGTGAGAACTGATGCTGATGCTTTTCAGAGGCGCTGCACATTCTCCATCTGGTTTGTGAGTTTTTGTCTTTATGAAGTTCTTGTCAAATACCCTCCAGTAAGCTGCAGCTCATTGTCCAGGGCCATCGACACAGTAGCCGCTCATGCTTAAGCCCATTCTTGCAGCCACTGTGTTAAGGTATGTCCTTGAATATCTTCCTCTTTTTCAGGACCCTTCACCTTACCAAGCATCCTCTTCACATGTCCTCTAAGACAGATTTATTGACTCTTTCCTTTGAATCCACTAATAAGTGTTGTTCCTCTGGGTCCTGCCTTTCTCATCTGTAGGAGTAGTGAGTTAGACTTCATGTTCAAGGGCTTTTAGAGCTTATATATTTTTATGTTTATTTAAAATGAATTTTTTTAGGGGTATAGCTTGTTCCAGTCTTGCCTTCTCAGAGCAGCTTTTCCTGATGAGAAAAGGTTTTCCTGATTCCTTTCAGAATACAGTGAGCTTCTCTAGAGAGTCACTTAGCCATAGGGGTGCATGCCAGTTACTTTGCCGGTCATAAATGTTTAATTTTTCTTTACAGTTGGCTATTCTGTCGTTGCCATCAATCATGTTGTTGACTTTAAGGAAAAGAAACAGGTAAAGTACAATTTTTGACGTTTACAAACCTATAGTTACAATTATATATGTTTATAAAGAAATTATTTCTTTATAAGCATGTATTTATGTAGCCCTACATTTATAAATAAACATAGATACTACAAAGGAGCATATTTCTCATATGTCTTCTCTGTGTGTTTTATATGCTACCAGTTTTGAGGTGACTTATATGTGTAAAAATGATAAAGATTTTTAGGACGTTCTCTGGCATGACTTCATTCTGAAAATTGATTTGACATTGAGTCATTTTCATTAGCATTTTCAAATTATTATTATTATTATTATTATTAGAATGGTAATCACAGTATTTGCTGTTATTGTTACGTACCATTGAGTTGGAATCAACTCATAGCTGACCTCGCACAGTTTTTCAGAGGCAGTAAATCATGTAGGAAGAGATTGCCCATCCTTCTTCCTTAGAGCCCCTGGTGGATTTGAACTGCATCTTTGAGTTCACAGCCTGACTCGTAACTACTAAGTCACCAGAGCTCCCTAATCACACTATTTAGTCCTTTTTACTTTATTGTCATGGACTTATTAATTAATTTATTTCACTCTCAAACCTCAAGTAAATGTGTATTTTCCCTTTAGACCAGCAGCTTTGTTGATTAGATAACCAAGTGCTGATTAAGCTGTTAATGATGAATTGTTCTTTTGGTCTTAAAACTGTTTTTCATCCCTCATATTTGCTAATGTTCTCAATTGCTTCTCCGTTCTAGTTTTCATCAATTAAAGAAAAAGCTAAAAGCTTACTTAGTCTGTCAGGACAACAGAAATTAACTTCCTATTTTAAACATTTTTTTTTTCCGTGAAAATTTTGGTTTTGGTGTTCTTTGTCCTATTAATGAGAAGAGTTCAGCTTGATTCTTTTTAATTTGTTGTAGGAAATTGAAAAGCCGGTAGCTGTTTCAGAACTCTTCACAACTTTGCCAGTTGTACAGGTACGTAGTTGTTTTGGTGTTTAAGATATGGGATGCCCTAGTCATTCAACCCAAACACATACCATTGTGTGTGCTGTTCTCTTAACTGGGACCATACCTTCCTCCCCGAACAGTCTTCCACTTCCATCAAGTATCAGTCATTCCATGAAGCATTCTTTTGCTGTCAATTTGATATTTCTTTAATAGCCTTCTTCTCTGAAGTCCTGCCCTTTTAAATTATCTCCTGTATTTTAAATATGCATATCGTATATTTTTTCTGTAACTCTGCAAAATTTCTCAAGGGCAGTCGCTGGACTTTATTGCTCTTCAATAGAATTTCTAGCTGGTACTTTGTAATGAGTGCTTTTTTGCTGCCAACTGGGAACATCAGGTAGTTGTGTTCTGTGCATTTTTTGATAGCCTGTTTTGCTTCTAGGGAAAATCAAGACCAATTAAAATTCTAACTAGACTGACGATTATCATTTCGGATCCCTCTCACTGCAATGTTTTGGTAAGTTAACGGTTTTTCTTCTTTCCTTTGACTCTTTTTTATATTATTATTTAACAGTATGGTTGCTCTTCCTCCCATTTAGTCCCTGTCATGACACCTTCTTTTGCTCTTCCTAACTTAAGAATTTTCATAGTATAACAGGTATCACTTCTACTCATGACACATTGTGATACCACAGATAAAGACTCCTTTGTCAACTGCTGTCATCTAGTTTACATGTGCCTGTCAGAAGGCTGGGTGCCAGGGTACTAGAGCAGACGCAGTTCTTGAGTTTACAAATGTAATCATTTACTTGGCAAGAGAAGCCCTTAAATAATAATTACTAATATGAGTTGTGTTTGAAAAGGGAAATGGGAACAAGTAAAGGATGCTTGGAGACTTTGCTGGGGAACCATCTGAAGAAGTTGGTATTCAAGCTGGGTCCCAAAGAATCAGAAATTGTTATGTATTGATGAAATGGAGAAGGGCTGCTTCCTCCACCCTTCAGAACTTTCAAAATTCTAAGGCCAACGTGTATTCTGGAAAGCAAAACACCACCAAGGCTGAGCCTAATGAGTAGAAATGTTAGTGACAGATTGTTGTCGTTGATTGCCTTCGAGTCGAGCACGACTCATAGCAACCTATGAACAAAAGACCTGAAGCCCCTCTACAACTAACAACATTGATCAAAGTTCATAGAGTTTGCAGAGGCACAGTGACAGATTAGAAGTGTTAAATGATTGAAAATATAACCATAATTATAAGATTATTGGGTGCAAAACTATGTATATGTGTGTTTTCTGTTTCCGTGTGATAAACCTTCTTCTCTTTATGTGTCTAGAGAGCAACTTCTTCCCGAGTCCGCACGTATGATATTGTAGCGGTTTTCCCAAAGACAGAAAAACTTTTTCATGTAAGTAACACATGAGTGAAAGGTTAATATTTATTATATTGGGTAAGAAATCTATTGTTATTCTTCTGGTAGCCTCTTTTCCTCCTGGAACCTACAGGATTTTTCCTTTCCATTTAGAATTTTGAAATGTCACAGAGACGTACTCAGGTGGCATAGTTTTTTCATTCACTGTGCTAGGTGTTTAAAGGCCTCAGAATGAAAGAGCCTTTCAAGTGTTGAAATGGTTCATGTGGTTCAAATTTACCGGCTCCTTGGGAGAAGGATGAACAGTCTCCTCCCATGCAATTTACAGCCTCTGAAAACCCACTGGAGGGTCATCTATGGGCTGATTCCAACTCAGTGTGACATAACAACTTAGTTATTCATTCATGTATTCATTTTCCAGGACCATCTCTTCCTAGTTGTAAAGTCACTTTAATTTCTGCTTTTCACATCTGTTGTTGTTATGTGCCGTAGAGTCGCATAGCAACCTATGTACAAAAGCCCTAAACTCTGCTCTGTCCTTTGCCAATCGCACTGTCTCTGACACACCCATCTGGATTACCACAGTCAATGAATCAGTCCACCTCATAAAGGGCCTTCCCCTCCTGCGCTGTCCCTCCACCCTCCCAAGTATGATGTCCCTTCTTACAACATGTCCTAAGTATGTTAGATGGAGCCTCAGAATCCTTGCCTCCAGGGAGCTGCCTGGTTTAATCCTTTCCAGGATGAATCTGTTTGTTTTCCTAGCAGTCCATGGTACCCTCAATACTCTTCTCCAGCACCACAGCTCAAAGGCATC